AGTGCACATATTGAGTCACAACTGTAAATCAGATAGAACACAATAACCATCTCCACCTCCTAACTGGTACTGCCTGATCACCTCGGGCTTGTTTTCCGGTTGCATGCTGCCAGGTGCACCCAGACCCAGCCTGTTTTCTCTCCCCTGTCCACCCCCTGATTGTTTAATTATCTGAGTCTTTGTTCCTTCATTCTTCCAAGAACTACATCCTGCCCCACTGACCCACAAAGATCTTCCTAGCTCCTGCCCCTCCCCTCGGCCACTGCCTTTTTTCTCGCTGCCAGTCCTAAGGCTTGAACATGGGACCTAGACACTATCCCTAAGCGGGGAGGGGGACTCGAGGCTAGCATTTGACCACTTGAGCTACAGCTCCACTTGCAGCTTTTCAGGTGGTTGAGATAAGTCTCACAAACTTCCCTGCCCAGGAGGGATTTGAACTGTGATCCTCAGATCTCAGCCTCCTGAGTGGCTAGGATTACTGGTGTGAGCCACCAGTGCCTAGCTTCCTAACTCCCTTTTAACCTTCAGCTCCTCCCTGTTTTTTCTGCTCTTCTCCTCACCGTGGTGCTGCAAACCACTATGCACACTTTAGCCTTCCATGAACTCTCAGGGTCTCTTTGCCTAGGAAAACTCTCCTAAGCAAAACTCTGCCTAGACTAATCATGGCACCCCAATAATGACTCCTGCCAAGGAGGAAGCCATTTATATAACCCAAATGAAAGCAGGTAAGAATATTGGGGTTCTTATGTCTTCTTCAACCAGCTTTCACCTCAGACTAAGTCCTGTATATGAAAGCAAGTTGCCCGGTCATTTTGCTATATATAAAATGATCAGATCATGGAATTATAAAGAATTGGATAGACTACATCTGGTACAATTTCCTACCAAAAAATTACACAAATCCTTTCTGGTATGCAAGACTACAGCTGTTCCCCTCTATCAAGTAAGTTCACATGGTGAGAATTTCCCAGCCCCTTCTCCTAGAGGATGGCATTGTTAGATGTAATTACTAGCAATTCACCTCTAAGCCAGTGGGTCTGCAAGTGTAGTCAAAGACCCTTCTTTCATTAATTCTGTGGGGTCATCCATGGATTACATCAGCGTGGGGGCCAGGTCCTCTTCATGGCCTTCAACAACAAAACAGATCACAACCAATGCTTCCCTTAGGACTGGCATTCTTCTGTTTGGGAAAGTAATCATTTTTTTTATTTTTTACTAAAAATAAAAGTGTGTGTTAAAACATAAGAAGTATATTATTTTAAATGAATGACGAGCTAAGCAAAGTGCTAGTTAGTATTGTTTCAAATGAGAAAATGCTTAAAGTCTATTCTTTTTTATTTTTAATTATTTCTCTGTGTGTGTGTGTGTGTGTGTGTGTGTGTGTGTGTGCGCGCGTGTGCCTGACGTAGGGCTTGAACTCTGGTCTGGGTGCTGTCCCTGAGCTTTTTATCCCTCAAGGCTAACACTTGAGCCACAGCTCCACTTCTGACCCTTTTTTAGTGGTTAATTGGACTTTCCTGCCAAGGCTGTCTTCAAACCATGATCCTCAGATCTCAGCCTCCTGAGTACAGATGTGAGCTATTGACACCTGGCTCTCTGGTTGTTGTTTTTTTTTAAGTAGTTGTTGAAAGGGATTTCAGTTCCACCGGTCATGAGTAAGTGCCAAGCATCTCGATCAATGTCGCTCCTTCCATTGTTTCTCCCCTCATCTTTCCCCACTTACGTTCTACTCTTGCTTGTTTTTTATAGATTTTTAAGCTGGGGTCTTACTGTGCACTTTCTATGTGAAATTCCCAGGCCTCCTGCTCATTTGGGGTACAAGAGTCACAGGCGCGTACCACCATGTCCAGCTTCACACTTTTCCATTCTAAATAACAACCACGACCAGCACTAAGCCTCCCCCCAGAAGCTCTTTAATAATTTTAATAAGAAAACAATTTTAAGAACATAAAATAGGCTGCGACTCTGAGCGGCTCTCGGATTTGAGAACATTTTCAGTCTATGAGTCGCAACTCTGTGCCGCCTTTATGTGCCTTCTTTCCCAGAATGAACTGCTCCCGTCCCTCCAACGGGCCCTTACATGGCTTGGCAGTACACAGTCTAGCTAGGCTCCCAATCACGTTCATGGAGCAGCACCCCAAGAACATCCTGGCTCCAGCCGAGGAAAGCTCCATCTCACCATTGGCTCTTCATCCCCAAGATCTCTCCCCGGTACTGGGGCTATGTAGGCAGCAGGCCACTCCAAGCCGGTCTCTGTGTATGAGTTGATGGACCCATGCCGGAATACCACAAGCAGTATCTGAGTCACATTAGCTTCACAGGCCTAGAAACTCAAGCATGGGATTAGTGTTGTTTCCATGAGAAAAGACTATCATCAGATCCCAGGTTTATATTTGAGTTACCCTCCACATCTCAGTGTAGGATGATTATAAACCTGGGGCTGGCGATGCATTGCCCGTGTGGTGGCTGGGTCCCCGCCCATGTGCAGCAGCTGCGAGGGTAGCGATGGCTTGGCACAGCCGCAGGGCTCCGTTCTTAGTGCTTCTCGCGTCTGTCCTGCAAAAGGAATTCTTTAGAGGAAAATGTGCCACCCTGGGGACATGGGGACAGGAGAAAGGGAGGGAGGCTGGCTGTGTCCCCCAGCGCCCAGGCCTGCTCCACTTTCAGAATGTCACTTCCTCCTCAGAACGGCTCCCCCAGGGAACCTGGGAAACTGAGGGTTACCTGGGCTTTTGTTCCCCATAAAACTAACATTTAGGATCCCTAAGGGTCAACGTGTCGCAGCATCTGCTTGGGTCTTGTGCTGCTAACTGCCAGATGTGCAGGGGAGCAGAAGGATCTGGAAGCAGTAGAAAGAACGTCGCTGAGTTCTACAGGGGCAGCCATGGTTCCAAGCCCTTTGGAAGGCTCAGCCACATGAGCAAGAGTTACAGAAGTCTGTGCCTGGCCTAGCTCTTCCGTGGCCTGAAAGCCCAGAGATGGTGGTGAAGGGCAGGCTCTGGAGAGTGCCACGCTGGGCCAGAACTCAGCTCTGCCATTCCCAGTTCTCTTAGCTAAAAAATGAGGTCATAGCTGCCCCTGACTCTGAGTTACTGCAGCCCAAAGTTTCCAAGTGCTGACACCTGACACTGAGCAAACTCTGGACACCTATTCATTGTTTCTACAAGGAAGTTACTCCAAGCCCTTTTTCTCTTCTGTCCAACTGACTCATCTGTGAGATAGCCAGGTAAAGAATGCCACAAAAACCATTTCTTGCTTTTGCAAGAGTGCCATGCTTTTCTCCACAAATGTATACACACACGTAGCTCCACTTTATTCAGGAGAACACTGCAGGGGAACAGGGGAGAAGGTGGAGAGCAGAGCTCTCTGGCCTTGCCCACCCCAGCCCCCAGCCCCTCCCACACACCTGTGCTTGGTGGTCCTAGGATGGATCTTTTTTCCCCCCATACCTCCAGCTTCCTCTCAGCCCCAAGAACACATCTTCACAAATCTACCCCTCATTATGACTAAAGCACAAAGTCCTAGATGTCCACATTTTTCAAGCCCTTGGCTCTTAGATAAATATAAATTGGTTCAAATTTGTCCCAAAGGAAAGCGACATTAATAAAACAGGCTTGGAAGTCTCTGATGTCAGGGGACTGTTTACGTAAGACAATGACCTACATGGCAGTCAAGGGCACTTGGTGGCCTCTGTTGGGGAGGGGATTCGAGGGAGGGGGTTTGGGGGCAAGAACTAAAATAAGTCACTGAAAATAGCATCATTTTTTTTTTCTAGGAAAAGAACAAAGTGCTTATTTTCCCCAGTAGGTGGCAGTAGTTACAAGGCTAGACAAGTAGAATGTTAAATGATTCATAAATACAACTATTTTGAATGTGGAGCCCATCTCACTCCATCTACCACTGCTATTTATTAGGAAGTCAAGGTCCTCTAAGGGTACATGACTTGCTCAAGGTTGAGTCAAGTAAAAGTCAGTGTTACCATCAAGCCAGAATGTGGGAGAGCCTTTATTGCTTTTTCAAAGTGTCCAGTGGCTTAATCACACTGGGGGGGGGGGGGGGGGCCGATCACTGGAGTGTGCTAATGACTTCAGCCAGCAACAAAGCAAACCGTCTCTGAGAGGGAAGGAAAGAGGCAGAGAAAGACAAAAACATCTTTCTGTGTGTATAAGTTATGAGGCTCCCGGACATATTTGTGCTGCCTTTGAGTGCCGATTCAGCATGGTGTATTCCCCAAAGAGATGAGGGGTTACTGGATAAGTGTCTCCCTTCTCCAGAGTCCTCTCCAGGTGTTACATTGTTTTATTTACTTAATGCTCAATATAAGAAGCAGGACCTTGGAAACAATCGTGAACAAATCTGCCCTTCTAAACAGTTTCAGCTAAGATTATTCAAACAAATAGGAGGGACAAATATACCTAGAATGGTCTTATGCCATATTGAGTTTTTAATAAGTAAGAATGAGTGGGTAGATGGGTGGAGACACGGATGGATGGATGGATGGATGGATGGATGGATGGATGGATGGATGAAAATTTAGGTCTAAAATTTTCATATCTCAACAAAATTTCTCACAGTTTTGATCATCAAAAATAGAAAGAAAGAAAGAACATGCTACTCTGGCTGGATATGTAAAAAAGTCTCTTTCTCTGGAGTTTTTGAAGCACCAACCAGTCATTCACTCGGCAAGGAAGTTGAAGAAGAAGGTTGGGGCACTTTGAAAAATAGGAGCCTTTTAAAGAATATTAGAATATATATTATTGCATGATTCTTGTTGCTTATGAAAGAAAAGAAGCAGGCAAAAATGCCTACCCATCAGAATCAAAGCGCTTTCGATGAGAAGTCGCACCGATTACATGTTGCTTCATCCAAAATCCTAGTCCCGTGCTCCTTTCCTGAATTTTCTGCCACAATCAGGACATTACCCTGGCAGGCAATTCTGGGAGCTTTTGCTTACTTGCATTTAAGTAACCCGTCTGTTTCTTTTTAATTTTGAAAATCAGGAGAAGTGGATTTGTGGAAGCCTGGATCAGTCCTTTTAGACGCAGGTAACTATACAGCCCAGTTTCTCAGTGGTGATCCAGGAAGACACAGGGGCTTGCAGAATTAGGAGGGTCAGAATAATGTAGGTACCCAAGCAGCCTGTCTAAGGGCTTCCTACTTGAGATAGTCCCATCCTGCAGAAGGCACCTTGAAACTTTCCTAGGGGCAACACCGCATTAACAAAGGGAGGAAGCAAGCAGGAAGGAAGCTAGATCGCAACCCTACGCGTAGGTTTAGACCCTGGCTCTGTCTCGGCACACTTGGACAAGCTCTTTGTATCCTCCCTTCTTTTTCAAAAAATGGTATTCCTGCATCTCTTTACACCGACCACTGCTGTTCTCTGTTTACTATGTTGAAGGTTTGAAACTCCCTCCATAAAGCCTTCCAAGAAGATTTTACAGGTGGGGAAAACAAATAGTACAGGAGGACATGACCCCCTAAACTTTGTTGCCACCCCCTCCACCCTTCAACCGGAGCTTTGGAGGTGTTTTCTTGAGAGACTTCTGACTGAGAAATGCTGTTAGAGATCCAAAGCAAAAATTTTCAAATGAAGTGAGGAAGTGGGGCGAGCTAGCTGACCTTTAGTGGAAGGATGAAATCATGTGCTTTGCGAACTGGAAAAAATAACACAGCAGGGAAAAGCTGACTGCAGCTAAGAAGGAGAAGAGGCGCCCGCATCTTTCTCTACCACCCATCACTCGAAAGTCCAGCAACTCACCTGCACCCTGAAGCACCCATGGCCTGTGCTACACTTCGGTTCTGCTTGAGAAACCTATTGGTTGGTCTTCCAGCACCTTAAAAAGTTCTCATTTATTAGTCAGGTGCTGATGACCCATGCCTATAAAACCAGGGTAGCTGAGATCTGAAGATCACAGTTCAAAGCCAGGATGGGCAAGAAAGAAAATTAGAGACTCTTATCTCTAATTAGACACCAAAGAGCTAGAAGTAGAGGTGTCGTTCAGGTGGTAGAGCACTATCCTTGTGAGAAAAAGTCAAGGGACAATCTCCAGGCCCTGAGTGCAAGCCCCAGTATCAGTACACACAACGTTAAAAAAAAATCTCTATGGATGCTGGTGGCTCATGCCTGTAATCTTAGCTACTCACGAGGCTGAGATCTGAGGATCACAGTTCAAAGCCAGCCCAGGCAGGAAAAGTCCATGAGACTCTTATCTCCACTTAACCACTAGAAAACCAGGAGTGGCACTGTGGATCAAGTGGTAATGTGCTAATAGAGCTGAAGAGCACAGGGACAGCTCCCAGGCCGAGTTCAAGCCCCATGACTGACCAAAACAAAACAAAACAAAACTCATTTACTGCATTCAGAAATAGTTGTAAGCTGGGTGCCGGTGGCTCATGCCTGTAATCCTAGCTACTCAGGAGGCTGCGATCTGAAAATCATGGTTCAAAGCCAGCCCAGGCAGGAAAATCCGTGAGACTCTTATCTCCAATAAACCACTAGAAAACTGGAAGTGGCACTGTGGGTCAAGTGGTAGAACACTCTCCTTGAGCTGAAGAGCACAGGGACAGCACCCAAGCCCAGAGTTCAAGCCCCACGATGGACCAATAAATAAATAAATAGTTGTACAGAACAGCCCCCATCTCTACCACACTAAAACACACCTCACACACCCCTTGTCCAACCATGAGCATTTTCAGATTGTTTGCCTTTAATCTTAAACTACAAGAAACTACTCTCTGTCCTTCTACTTGAGTTACTTTTTATTTTATCTTTGTGTATGCGCTTAAACTCAGGGCTAAGGTACTCTTGCTTGGCTTCTTTCTCATTCAAGGCTAGCACTGTACCACTTGAGCCACACCTCCACTTCTGGCTTTTTGCTGGTTAACTGGAGATATTGAGTCTACAGATGTTTCTGCCTAAAGTAGCTTCCAACCTCAAACCTCAGAGCTCAGCCTCGTAAATAGCTAGGATTACAGGCGTGAAGCACCCAGAGCCTGGCCTTGAATCGCTTGTGTCTTAGCTCTTCTCTCCTGGTCTACCTCTAGCCCTCTTTAGATTGTCCTCCAAGTGTCTTTACTCTCAGTCCATGCCCTCATTCACCTCATTCTAGTTAGCTCATGCCAACTAGATATCCTTTCCTAATGTCAAGATTAACAGAGGGACAAAGTTCTTCATTTTTTCAGTTGAGGAAACTCAGGCTTAGTTAAAATAAGTTCAAATGAGAAACAGCACTTAAATCTGATTTCAGATCTTCCTGAACACCCTGTCGGGGTTACTATGGTTAGCACACTGTCCATATGTATTCATTTCTCCTTATGTTTCTTTCCCATGGATAAGGGTGGTGTGGATAATAACTGTTAGCTCCAAGCCAAGTCCCTGAGCTGGGTGTGAGTCTCTCTGTCCTCTTCCCTGGGGTAAAGGCCAGATGCTTCCTGTGCTTACAAGTCACCAAAAGTTTTACTGTTCTTTCCAGGATTTGTTCCAAAAGAAGAATTAAGCACACAGTCTTTGGAGCCAGTCTCCCTGGGCGATCCAAGTAAGTTAATTGACAACTAGAATCCCATGGTGGTTTTGACATCAGATCTGTTCTCAGTCTTCCCTACCCACTCACTCCCACCCAAGCCCAATGACGTCTCCCACCCTGGATCTATTTATCTCCTCTCTCCTGTCACTCCATTCTAAGGAGAAGGGAGAGCTTTTGAAGGATTTAAGTGGTGTGCATGATGGGGAGAGGATCAGCGGGTTTTTTTTAGTATCACTATGGCAACAGGGTGAAGAATGGAAGGAGATGGGGAGACATGGGTGGATATGTGGAATAAGCAGGTTGGTTAGTCTGTGAACCCCTCCAGGTGATGGTAGCTAGAGAAGGAGGAATCTTTTGAGTTGGGGTGGAGAAAGGAGAGGAGGAACAATTAAAAATGGTTTGAGTAACTGAGTGGTACTGCAGGTGTGGGGGCAGAAAGACCATAAATGTCTGTCATCTCCCATAAGACACTGTGTCTAATAGAGAGTTGACTACTCAGGTTTGATATTCTTATGGGACAACCTAGGCAGAAATATATACAAGATGACAGCTAAGAACCTCTAGTGGTCATCTTCCTACAGACACACCACACACCACGCACCACACACACACACACACACACACACCTGCTTCCACAACAGCTAAGGAAACCAGGTTGCCTGCTACACAATACCCTGCCCTGTCTCTATTTTTTTTAAAAAATCGTAATAAAGAGAAATAGATATTAACACACAAGAGAATTTAAAAAAATAATAAAATTGGAGTTGAAAGACAATGAAAGCCGAAGATCTAGACCATAAAAATGTGATGCCACGAATAAGATAGAATAAAAAAGGACTTAGACATGAAGAAACACACTAAGTAGAGGAGAAGTCACCTTGAGAATACCAGAAAGGAGAGAATACCAGAAAAAGGAAAGAAACTCAGAACACTTTTGTCTTCTACAAACTACAGAAGAATTCACTGGTCAATTCCCTGATAAAGTTCCTCCCAGCCAGCTACCAATGATTCTCCCGGGAGAATCAACTGAAGCCAGTTTTACAATTAACCACACCCACTTCCTGCTCACACCTTCTGTATCAAACTCTCCCTAGGGCTTGAGAATCTCAGTATGGTCTGGATATAGGCATCTGCCTCCCCTGAGAACTTGCAAAAAAGGTAGCTAGCATCTGAGGATCTACCCCAGACCTACTGATTCTACAAGGGATTCCTTTGTATATAAACCCATGAGCAGCACTACCCAGAGTGATTCCTCAGCATCTTTATTTGTGGAAGCCACTTAAGCAACCTTACTATGTGAATAACTCTCATAGCAGAAACACTAACCCAAAGTGTTGGACACCACCATGTGTTTACTCCATGGAACCATACCACCTTAATTGAGAAAACAGGCCCCAGATCTTTAATTCCTCATCCTCCAGCCTCTATCCTGTGGCCATTATGTATCACTCACACTGAACACTTCACAGCCTGATTTTACCTTAGAAGTGTTGATGCCATCTTCAGATCATCATGTTTTCCTTTCTGTGCAAAAGTCATCGGGTCTTAACTAGAATACAAGAGCTGGGAACCATCGTCATTAAGACATCATGACAAAGGACATCAGCCACAAACCAGTGGAGCAAAGAGAACTAAGCAAACAGAAGCCCCTCGCTTTCATAACACTTTTCTTTTGGTTTTGTCCATACTTCCAGCAAACCAGTAGGCGTTGGTGGGTGGCAAGCCGTGAAGAACGTGACTGCCACCTGCTGGAAACAATTCACATTGCAAGGCCAGGCCTAGAAAAACATGAGTTGTTCCTAATTGGGGACAAAACCACTAGAGAAGCCAGGTATCAATTCTACCCATCTTCTGCTGTATTCCAGGCTTTCATGGTATCACCCCACCTATGGATTTCATTTTCTTCTTTCAATTTATACCTAAGGGTAATGCTTACATAAGGGCAATTTGGAAGGTACCAGATGAATAGGAAGGATTGGACTGAACATCCAGTCTAGAAAAAGACTAGAGGTCTCATTCATAAGGAAATGGAAACACTTGGAAAAAATTAAGCAAAGTAAAGCAGACCCAAAGAAACATAGGCTGCATGGTCTCCCCCATTTGCAATAACTAGAGTATGTCTATAAGTCTACACATTAACCCAACGGATAGTAAAAGACAAATAATTACACTTGGACATGATTAACTAAAAAGTATTCTAAGTATCTCACAGTGAGAACAAAGGGCTCAATGGCTGTGTGCATATGACCATAGAGAATGATGCTTATTGAAATGAACTCCAAGAAATGGAAGCCAGAGGACTTTTTTTAATTGTACTTTTTGCAGTTCTTTCTTTTCCTTTCTTTTTCTTTGTCTTTTTTTTTTCTTTCTTTCTTTCTTTTTGGTCCTTTGGTTTATTCCCTGTTGTCACTGTTTTTTATTTCTGTATCCTTTGTCTTGTATAGATGTTTATCCGATTTGGGGAAAGAAATGGTAATCACAGAAATGATGGGACAAAGGGTAAACCATAGTGTCTAGTGAACCTTACAACTTGGGGGGAAAGGAGGTGTGTTGGGGGGAATGTGGGAGAAAATGAGGGAGGGGATAATTGTTCAAAAAGAACTGTACTCATTACCCTTATGTATGTAACTGTAACTCCTCTGTACATCACCTTGACAATAAAATTAAATTACAAAAATGAAAAAAATATTTTTTAAATACTAGACATAAAAGCTTTGATCAAGATATATTGTGGCTGGGCACCAGTGCCTCACGCCTATAATCTTGGCTACTCAGAAGGCTGAGCTCTGAGGATCACAGTTCTAAGCCAGCCTGGGCAGGAAAGTCTGTGAAACTCTCCTCTCCAATTAACCACTAGAAAACCAGAAGTGGTGTTGTGGCTTAAAGTGGTAGAGGGCTAGCCTTGAGCAAAAGAGCTGAGGGACAGCGCCTAGGCCCTGAGTTCAAGCCCCATGAATGACCAAAAAAGATATATATATATATATATATATATATATATATATATATATATGTGTGTGTGTGTGTGTGTGTGTGTGTGTGTGTGTATTATTCATAAACTACTTTGTTAAATGGCAACTCCTTTGTACAGCTACTTAAAGATAAATTTTAAAAAGTTAAAAAAAAAAGCATGTTTTGAGATTCACTGATGAACCTAGGGCACAATCCAGAACCCTGATTCCACATGTAGCAGAGGCTGATAGACCCAAGGGGCTCCCGTCATCTTCTCAAAACCATCTTCTCTACTTCAAACAACATGCATGGCTACTAGGTAATACAGCATATTCTTAGATACAACTCTGCTGCTTCATCTACCAATTCTTCATTTTTCATAGGCAAGCAGCTCTCCTCAATTCTCCTGTTTACAACTTTGTCAACCTATGTCTGGCTATTATTACTCTTACTGAAAATAGCAGCAGCAACAACAACCCTCCTGGCCTACAGAGCCTATCTCCTGGAGAGGCTATGCTCTTCCCCCAGGAAGCAACCCCACATGGAGAACATGGGAGATTCCTCACTGTTCAGGAAGATGTGGGCTTGTCTGTGTAGCAGTCCCTGACCTACAAGGGTGGCAACAACCCCAAGTATCCTCTTGCATATGACAGCCCCAGAGTTCCTTACTTTCCTTACTCGTTTATTCTGCTTGGAAATCAGTATTCTTCTCTCCCAAACTACAAACTGTTTAATAATTCATTCTTAATTTTTTTTATTAATCTCAAGGTTTGCACTGCTCTCAAGAAGAACAGGTGATTGGCACATGTGATTGGTTTTATTGTACTGAGATGATCCTATTGTGTGGAGAGTAAAGAAAATATTCAGTTCTGTCAGCTAGAGTGATTTTCCACTGATTTCGATTCGCACTTGGAAAGTTGAAAGGCGCGTACAGTCACCAATCCCCTCTTTTCTGTCACGGTCTTTTTCCACGGTTTCAGTTACCCATCATCATCCATGATCCGAAAATATTAAGTGGAAAACCCTAGAAATGAACAGTTTATGAGTTTTTAAGTAACTTTTGTTATCTTATATGTTATAATTGATATCCTTTGTTATTAATTTCCAAATTGATAACAATGTTTAATCTCTTGTCGTGTCTAATTGGTAAACTGAACTTTACTGTGGGTATGTGCATCCAGGGTATATACACTGTACATAGAGTGTCTGGTTTTATCTGTGGTTTTAGGTCTTGAGTTTTATTTATCGGGCTTCAGGATTTTGGTCTTGGAATGCATTCCTTATGGGCAAGGGAGAGCTACTGTATTCCCTTAGAAATCCTAAACCAGAACAATGATCCTAGTGTTTTCATAACTTAAAGCATGGGGTGAGGAGGAAACAAACTAGCACAGCCACAAAGAAGCAATGATACCATACAGATACACTGGGTTGTCACACCCAGCGAAGTGAAAACGATTGGTGTCAAGTTCTTATTCTACCACTCCTGCCCTGCTCTCAGGAATGGCTTTTCAAGTGTTTCACACCTTTATGAAGGCCTATTCCATATATCGAGAAAGGATGAGTGCAAAGGGCCCACAAGTTCTTAAGCCTCAGTGAATTTCCACATGTGGAAGTCTGTGCTTCCATGATCGGAGCTTGGGAATCTGTTCTAAGAATCTCCTGGAGCTGGACTGGGTATTACTGATTTCTGAAGTGTATCATTGTGGTCAGACTTACTGAATTCTCAAAGTTATGGAAACAAGATGGCACCCAAGTGTCCAGAGCCTTGATGCTCAGGGAAACTCTGTTGCGCTATCAATAGATGGTTGAACCCAGCTATACCCAGCTCCTGTTTTACACTTGCTTCTCGTTGGAATCGCAGGGGATGGTAAAGAAGGCAAGAAACAATCTGCCCGGAGTACACAGTCAGAGATAACCAGAATAATAGAGTTTTCCTATTCCTCAGACTGTAAAGTTGATTTGTCCTTCTTGATCGATGGGAGTTCCAGCATTGGCAAACGTCGGTTTCGAATCCAGAAGCAGTTCCTGGCTGATGTTGCCCAGGCTCTTGACATCGGCCCTGCTGGTCCGCTGATGGGGGTTGTACAGTACGGGTAAGTGCCGTCTATGTTCTGAAGCAATCCCTCATGCAAATATAAGTGAACCGCAAGCAAGGTGGCTGCCATTTAAGAAACCCGAGCCTTCCTGAAGGGAAGGGTAGGTTAATACACACCTGCAAGGAAATGGCATTTGCACTCTTGATTAGTACAGCTATGGGGTACATGTCTTAACTCAGCCACGAATAATCTGGCCTTGTTCTAGGCTTTCTCCACTCTGATTGCCAGTTCTCTTATCTGAAAACAAGGGCCAAGTCCTCTTTCAACTTTGACTGTTCCACCCTTGTTTGAAGGGCTCCACCCTGAGCTACAAATTACCTTCACAGGTAAGAAGCCTGCACAGCACTGTGCCTTAGGGGGTGCTTTCTCTTTCCTCGAAATACCACTGGTGCCAGAAACATCTTACCCTGTAGTAGGAAAAGACAGGCATAGGAGAGATAGTCCCATCAGTCAGCTGAGCACTGCAGTGACCCTGCTCTGTCATTCCATTATTTTACTTAGCATGGGAGTTAACATTCCAAACTAAAGTCTTCTTTTCTCTTCCTTGTAGTGAGATAAATCATTCCAGATACAAGAATGGGATCCCCTCATATACATCCCCCCCCAAAAAGTTCGTGGATGGTGTCAGAGAATAGACAGTCAAAAGAGAGAGCATGCACAAGTCTTGTATTTACGCTCATATATCAAATAGGTGGTCTTTGGATCAGTAAATATTGGTGGGGGAGCAGAATTACAATATCATCTTCTGATGGGCGCTGGTCAGCAGATGAAGCCTGCTCTCCCACAAAGCTATGGATTAGCCCTTGAAATTAGCAACCAACAGACCGCAGTGCCTCTTGCTCCAAAGCTGGAGCCATACACTACGCTCCGAAAACATAAAGAGGTCAATTCGTGACAGCACTCCAGCACCTCTGAGCTTCCCAGAATAGCATTTATTTACTTATTTATTTTTATTTATGTGTGTGTGTCTGTCTGTCTGTGTCCGTGTCTGTGTATCTGTGTGTATGTATGTGTTGGTATGGGGCTTAAATTCAGAACCTGGGAGCTATCCTTTACCTTTTCTGCTCAAGACTTATGCCCTACCACTTGAGCCACATCACCACTTCTGGCTTTTTGGTGGTTAATTGGTGATAAGAGTCTCACAGACTTTGCTGCCCTCCCTGGCTTTGAAAATCAATCCTCAGATCTCAACCCCTTGAATAGCTAGGATTATGGGTGTGAGACACCAGCATCCAGCTTCCATAGCAACATTTAAAATAGTATTGAAACCAAGATGTCACACCAAAGACTAGAAATCCATTTTTGAGTTATCAAGAGAAGTAAATAAAAGTGTCTTGTTTCCAAAAGAGCAGATCACATTTGTATTTTTAGACTTAGATCTCAATAGTATATTTAGTTTTAACTTCTATTCCTTTAAGGAAAAAAAGAGTAAATTAGCTGTCACATACATTAGTCAAAGTCAGTTATATTTTTTTAAAAAGTCACAAATGCCATCTCTGGAAACCAAATAATCAATCTTGAAGGTTCTTACTCAAAATAAGAAAAACACCGTTTTCTTTGTCTTTTTGGTTATTTGTTTTCTTGTCTGGAAAATGTCAACCCATTTTCATTCCTGGGTTGCTTTTTAAGATAGCAAATGGATAGCAGGCTTTCCACAGGAAGAAAATATAAGTATTTTAGTGCCAGATGTCTTCCAATCAATTTTTATTGGAGGATTCAAATCTTGGTGTATTATCTTGCATTAAAAATAGCTGCTTTAAAAGCTCGTGTTTACCAGGGTTTATAGGACGATATGAAAATAAGGTGATGAATATGTCTGGGAAAAGAATAATGGCATAAGAATAGGATTGTGCGCTGATGAGAATGTGGATTGAAGAATAAATGTAGCAAGAAAGGAAAACTAATAGAAGAGTCCTTCTTCCAGCTGCGGCTCCAATGTGTCCCACCACACACACACACACAGTTCATGCGATGGAAATTTATTTCCCAATACAACAGTGTTGGGAAGTAGGACCTAGAATCGGTGCTTAGGAATAAATTAATGTCTTTACCAAGGAGGTGGTTTGGATACCAAGAAGATGAGTTCGTTACGTAAGTGATTTTGCCCCCCGCTTGCTTTTGCTCTTGTACTGAGTTCCCTGGCCTTACTGCCTCTCATCATGATGACAGACACAGCAGGAAAGCCCTCACCATTAGACCTGACCTCCAGAACTGTAAGAATTTCCCCCCAATAATGACCCAGTCTGGTATCCCTTTAGAGCAATGCAGAATGAACTAAGATAGCCTTCCAAAAGTTCATCCTCTATCTTCTTAATGGGATCGCTATTTGCAAGAAAGAGTTGACCTCCTTGCTTTCCAAATCTGCTTTCTAAACATTTCTTGTTATCTGCCTTTTGTCTAGCCAGAATTCTTAATTAATTTCCAGGCTTTTAGGAGAAGATGTGCATCTCCCTCTGTTTTATGCCCCGCATACCCTAATCCGTCATCTTCACTTTGCTTTCGCAACGAGAGGCCAGCACAATGAACTGCTGACGAGCCATCTGAATTCTGACCTCAGTCACTTAACCTCTCCATGGAAGTGGTGCCTCCTGTAGGTGCTAGAGGTCAGCCAATGATTTATTAAGGCTCTGCCAGCTCTGGCATTCTATAACACAGTGACTGGCTCTGTAATCAAAAGATTCCCAATAAGTGAACGTTGGACTAACAGATGCTGCTTCCCACTTCCTTCCCCTCATAGTATCTTAGATTCCTGCCAGACTCCATCATCTTCTGTATTAGTCAGGGATCTGCAGAGGAATCAAGCCAATAGTGTAAGTGTAACGATGAGGTGACTGGTTAGGATTGGCTGATGCAATGAGCGACTGGCTAGGACCACAATGGCCACCATGAGCTGAAAGGCCAGGGAAGCGAGCTGCCAGCCTCCTAACAACAGCCTCCTAACAATCCAATGTCAAAGGCTTCAGACCTAAATGCTTCTGGAGAGCTGCGGGTGCAACTCTCTGTGCAGAGGCTGAAGAAGCTGGAGTCCAATGCGCAGGAGAAACAGCTACCCAAGAAGAGTCAAGCATAGATCACACTCTTCTCTTTCTGCTTTTTTTCCCCATTCCATCTGACCCTCTAGTCTATTGAATGGTGAGGCCTATATGAATGTAGACCAGTCTTCTCCGATCAACTCAATGATCCATACACCAATGTTCACTGCAAACTTCCTCTTGAGATACTCCCAGAAATATGTCTTCTGTGTTTCTAGGCACCCATTCCAGTCTGCAGCAAACATGAACCATCACACCTGCTCTTCCACAACCCCAGTTCGGCATCATGTCTTATTCTGACATTGCAGAGCCGTGAGACCTCAGAGAGCACCTGGCTCTGCCACCTCGTGCTATAGGATAAACAAAACACCCTACACAAGGAGGAGCGGGGAGCATGCACAGGACTGATGACAAGGCATCACTCATAGCCTACCTCCTCTCCAGCATCATCTTTCACTGGCTGACTTCTGTACCTCTGCCTGCACCTCTGGTTCAGTTCCCAGTGAAGGTCTCTACACCATGGAACCCACGTGCTTCCTCTCACACACTCCTGCCCTCAACCCACTATCACGAGGACCTGTCAGCCACCAGCATTCTTACCACAGTCACTGCACATCTATAATAAGATAGGCAGCATTTAATACAGACTCAGAGATGTCAGCTGACTTTCCTAAGAACCCCAGCAAAATGCACAACCCTAGGTGAATCTTGGGTTAATCCTTAAAATGTCAAACCAAATTGACTTCAGAGGGAACATGTTGCTCATCTGCCAGGAAAATTGCTGATAACTGACGTTTCCACCAGCCCAGAGAATGACACAAGGTGTTGAACTGTGCCAAGGATCAAGCCTCTACTTTCTCATGCCTATTAAGTTAAAATTATATAACCAACAGGCTTGGGAGGGCACTTAATACCAGCACTGAAAGAACAGCCAGAGCTAGACACTGTTGGGTGACCAACCTCTAACAAATAGAATGAATGCAGCCTAGATCCATGGGTGCTAAATGCCTTCTTGGGCTTCCATGTAATATGGATTTATGCCCCATTTCAATATAAATGCAACAGGATCAAACACACTCTCTTGAATCTCATCAGTCACAATAGGATATCAAAAGCAGTAAACAGTTTTAGAGTAAAGCAAAATGTGGGACTTTCTTCATTTAAGAATGAAATAGACTTTTCCTTGACCTTCAACCTATGACAGTTGTCTTCTGTTGTAAGGTGTGTCTCTGATAGGATGCATCTCTTCCACAGTCTAATTTCTCAGCTCTCCACTCCAACCCCAGGCCCTGGATTGCAGGGTGAAAGCCAAGTAGGTTCCTGCAGATCAGATGAGCTACATAGCACAGGACAGAATGGATGGAAGGAGCAAATGATCACATCTTTTGTGTCTGGCAGAATCATGACCCAGGAAACTGCCCATGTCCAAATCCTTAGATCTGTGAATGAAAGAAGACTTGCTGAAGTAATTCAAGAAAGTGCCCTGAGATGGGCAGATTGTTATCTGCTTGTCCCCATCTAATTGCTTGTCTATAAAAGTAGACACTATCCCACGACTAGACAGAGAGATGAGAGAAGAGACATCCCAAGAAGCCAGCAAAAGGAAACCATTTCAAACTGGGCGCTGGTGGCTCACACCTATAATTGTAGCTACTCAGGAGGCTGAGCTCTGGAGGATCCTAGTTCAAAGCTAGTCTGGGTAGGAAAGTTTATAAGACTACCAAAAAAACTAAAAGTGGAGCTGTGGCTTAAATGATAGAATGATAACTTGAGCACAAAAAGCATCCAAGCCCTGGGTTCGAGCCCCAGGACAGGCCAAAAAAAAAAAAAAGGAAACAGTTTCTTTGGAAAGCCACACACCCTGCCAAAAGGTCTTTCTGGGTTAATTCCATAAAGACCTGAATCAGACTTCAGACTTCCTATTTTAACGCTACATTTATGATCATCAGTTACAGCAGCAACAGA